AACTGAAGAGAGTTTTAAGGGGTCGTGAAACGTTTGCCGAAAATTTTAAACTCAGCGTCTATTCTGAATCCCGCGGCCGTCCATTCAATACTGTACCTCGACTCGTCCCGTGGTCCGAGATCATTTAATACCTACAAAAGCACAATTTCGATTCCTCAGACCACGTTCAGGTGTACAGCTCCAGTACGTCACCTTAAAAGAGTACTCACATGACCTTCAAATATTTTAGGATTGTCGAGGGCCAGTCAACAGGCTCCGACTCCCCCTTCCCCGCCCCCAAAAAAGCTCGGCAATTCGCAGAGTAGACCGCGGCGAGCCCCCCATTTCGAAAAAAAAAAAAAAACATTCCCGCGCTTCTTTGCTACGCCTGACCAATCCTCCTTTCATGCGCAGTGACGCAATGTCACCGACCGGCCACTTGAAGCACGCAGCTCGTCGATTGGTCTAAACTAGTCACGAGGACGGGCTACACTTTCCTCTCCTTGGGGCGGGAGAGGGGTGGCGAGGCCAAGCGAAAATTTGAAACCAGCTGGAACATACGTTCTAACCCCTGAAACTTCGTTGTTATAGCACGTGTTCGCAAAATTTTTTGCGACAGCATGTTCACAAGGCAAAAGTTCACTTCTTTCTCTTCATAAAAATTTTTGAACCTATGGGTTGTTTACTGGCCCTTTAACAAGAACACGGGTATCTGCAACCCTAATAATAACACTGCGGTGCCTTGGAAAGCATTGCCTATATTTTAAATACCGCTATCTAAAAAAAAAAGAAAAAGACTCATTCGGTTTCAATATCGAGGGAGCGATTTTTCCGTGACGTGTCCTGGCAGAACGACGTTACGGGGAGACGGCAATTAGCGACGAGTCAGATTGGCCATCGCCTCGCGGTGAACAACGATGCCTCCAACGCCTGCGGCTGCATACAGGACGCCCAGTTCGCAGAATCAGTGGAAGTATGCTGACTCGTCGGAACAGTGTTCATTGCGGTGGGGCTGGCTAGCCGATACTCAGCGACGAATACTATAATGTCAAAAAAAAAAGAATATTTTATACGTGCTGGTCGACTCTGGTGTATGGAGAGTGTTAACACTGCATACCGAGGAAATGAAACATGTCCCTTTTGCAAAGTCTCAAAATCATGCCAGTACTCCCTTAAGAAATACCATATGGTTTGTTTACTACCGTGTCACCGCGCAGTACCCCGCAGGCCTTTTTTTTTTTTTTCAAGTGTACCCAAGCAAAGTTCCCGCTCGAAAGTAGCACAACCACGCATGCACATGCACTTGCGCTATAAATCACCTAAAAGTAGCAAGCATAAAAGCGAAGCCATGCTGACGCAGCATGTTCAGATTCGTTCATCCATCAGCGTTACAGCAACGCATGGGCGAAGACAAACCAAGGCACGGCTGCTCACACCCTTTTCGCACTTGCGAACGCGCTACGTTTTGGCATCGACCTAACCCATGCTGGAGCAAAGCACCTTATTCGTGCTCTTCACAATAAAAAATACTACACCATTATTACTGTTTTTATGAACAACTGTCGGAACACTATTCGCGCTATTTTACTTGAAATCAAAACACGCATGTATAGTGAGCCTGAAATCACCTTTAAAAAAATCGTACGTCATCAAGATGCTCTTCACAGCACTGGGCTATGAATGACCACTCGTCTACGAATGATGTCCTTTTTTTCTGACAGATAAATAATTGATGTCTCAAAATAAATATGTACTCTTCTTTTTTTTTCTTTTTTTAGTTTCCCTGGAAGCACACGCGAGACAAACCTCGGGGTGAAAATATTGATTTTCAACAGCGACACAGCACGCAGAAAGTGGCTAAAAGAAGGCATGCAGCCAAGTCACGGTTCTAACAAAGAATTACCACCCCGTAACATTTATCTGTTAATTCGAGGAGCAACGAGCTCTCTTTCTTATCTCGGCCTTATCTTTATGAGTCGGATTAAAAGGTCGTCTCGACCTCCCTCAACTAAGCCAGCATGTTTGAGCGTTTTTCTTCGCGCCGCACGGGAAGAAAAAAAAAACACCCTGCAAGACCAGCAGCAGACTCGACTCTGCAGAAGCTTCAGTAATAACAAAATGAGGCGACTGCTGCGAGCACCCTCCTCCAGGTTTCGAGCGTCGTCATCGAACAAGATCACGCGGCGGCAATCAGCAAAAGTGCGGCCACTCGAGGCAACCCATGGCTGCGCCAAATTCGCGTCCGCTCACATGGCCTCGTAATACTATGGCTGCGCATCTGATTGCAGAGTGGCCAGATGTTAGCGAGCTAACAGGCAAAAAATAATCGTCACAAAAGAAGCCCATAACGTCTATGGGCCGACTTTTGCGAAGGTGCGCAGTACAAGCGGAAAATTAAGTAATTTTCCCATTCTTAGTTATACTAGAAAAGTTACTCAAGTACGAAGAGAGGGGGAAAAGTCATGTCAATATGTTCCGTACAACGAAAATAAGCGCATATAAACGAAAGCAGAATACCGTAGCCGTACACTTGAAAGGTCGGATAAGCGGCGATAAAGCCTCTAGATTTCTCCCTCTAGGAACTTTAGGCGATGCCATCGGGCGTACCCGAGATGAACCAGGCAAGCATAGAATCGTCATTGCAGAGACCAAGTGCATTCTACTTTTCTGGGGGCACAAATTCGCGGCAGCGGCCTAAAATCGGCTGAGCTTACTTCAATTTTTTCCCCTCAAGGAGTATTCCAATAAGCATCTCAAGATGTCGGTACTAAAAATCCCAGATCCCCCCAACCCCCATCCCTTCTTTCTTAAGCGCCACCGACGAATCCCATTGGCTGACGCCCATTTTCGGCAGCCATGTTCTTCCTAACGCTTTTCCAATGCCAGGTGAAGCACGATCCCCGCTCACTAACGAAGGGGAACTGACGAGAGGAGAGAGGCGCGACGCGTATGTACTTAGACATACGTGGCTTGGGAAAAAAAAAATAGAACTGCCCGTGAGAGCGAGCCCGTAGTCGAGGCAGTTGTCGGTACTTTTGTAACCCGGTATTCTGTTGAGCCATCTGCGTATACCGCAATGCCGGATTACCCAGAAACCCACAATTGATCACTTTTGTGTGTCCCGCACTCCGGTATATTGGCATGCCGGACAGCGTCATGTCGAATACCATTGTAATGAGCTTTTATAGTCCGTAGCACCCAAGTGCGCCCGCAACGACCGCGCGGCACTGGCCTCCGCATCTGCGCATGCACAATGTAGAAAGTCCCCGCGTTTACTACCTAAACTGAAAAAAAAAAAATGCAGACAGAGGCAACAGACAGTGCCGGCCTCGGAGTAGCTATTTTGCTGTTTTTTTTTTAAGTGGCTCGCCTTGACTCGGCTCAAGCCGGTAACGGCTTGCAACCTCGGAAGCGACGGGACTGCATGTCGGGCTCCTATCTTGTAAACGTCCGTAAGGCACGCGCGTGCACAGTTCACACCCAGGCTGTGTTCCAATTCTTATCTAGCACGTAAACAGTCTACGCAGACAGCTTGGAAGACAGCACGGAGCCCATGCTGTCCGGGAAATGGAACACGTCTAAGACGGCTGGATGGATGGATGGATGGATGGATGGATGGATGGATGGATGGATGGATGGATATGGCTGTACCCTTTAGATCGGGCGGTGGCTAGCGCCACCAAGCCGTAATACTTAATGAACCCAAAACTATATTTATTTTTTCCCCTTAAAAAGCGAGTTTGAGGATTCGTACTTTGCAGTGAAGAGTTTAATTTTCACTCGTGCCTTGACTTTAGCCACCAATCAGATAACCTCCTTCTAGTTAAGTCTACCCGCTTAAAGTCTATTTTGCCCTCCCGGTCCCTAAACCCCAGTGCTTTGAAAAACTCTGCGCCATCATCCTGAACTATAGGGTGAAGTCTTTTACAGAACATTATCACACGCACAGCATACTGTGCCTACCCCTTCGTATTTGGCCCGATATGTCTTGGTTCGCAATGCTCCAGTCCTGGCCTCAAACAGCAGAGAACTACCCCGAGTATTATCATAGATCCTTTCCTTGGTAATTTTCTGCTTAAAAGTTCGATAGATCTCTAGTGCGGACTTCTTAATCATGCCTTTCTCCACATGTCAGTCTCCGTTTCCTTCACTTTCTTCTTAAACGATTGTTCTTTTTGGTTTGGCCACCTGCTGTTTTCTAAGTATTTACCAGTCAACTTCCTGGTTCGCTTCCTCCATTTTGTATCGACATTCTTCATGCACAAGTAGCTGACAACCTTCCTAGCCCACTGCTCCTCCCCCATTTCTCTCAATCGCTTCTCAAATTTTATCTTGCTGCTAGCTTCCCTGCCATCAAATGATGTCCATCCCATATCACCTTGCACTCCCTGATTTGGTGTATTCCCGTGAGCTCCTAAAGCAAGCCTACCTATTCCACGTTGCTTAATTTCTAATCTTGCTTGAACTTCTGATCTCATGCACAACACCGCATTGCCGAACGTCAGCCCAGGAACCATGACCCCTTTCCATATTCCTCTCACAACATCAGACGGCTTCTACGCGACGAGGCGCACCTAGCGTCGAGAAGAGAAAGCTAAAATAAACAAATATAACTGTTATTTTTTAACCTATTTCGCGTTCAAATCTTAGAAAAATTGAGCGTTACTCACATTGAGCGCTTGGAAAAGCATCTGCTTCAATGCAGACAGAATTTAGGCGATATTTGAGCTTTCCGAGCAGTGCGCTAAGTCGCCATCTTGTTTGGACAGCAAAGTAGCCTGCATCGTATATGTCTACGATGACGTCTTCTCGGAGCTGTCTATTTTGCCGGCTACGTGAGAACTGGAATGAGACTTGAGATGGCCGCCGTCCATTTAGCCGTCTACGGTGACGGTATTGGAACACACCCCCAGTAAACTGGCATACAGTAACTATTTTGCTTATGGCGGTGCGCCGGACAGACTCCCCCATTGTCGAGGTCTCAGCTGCGGTACCTTAGCCAAGATGACCGGAGAGCTCACCGTGTGGTTGTTGCGTTCCTCCCTGGAGCGCCGTTCGGCGCACAGCTGCAGCTCGGTGGCGTGGCAGCGGTCCTCCAGTTCCGCGTTGGCCGACCGAAGACGCTCGAGCTGCGAAGTAATTTACGCATAATGTACACACCGAGAGCACGTATCGAATTCAAATAAATTTTCTATTTACACTAGGTAAATCCGTCACTCGCTTCGCAATTTCGGGGGCGTAGCCAGAAGGGAAGGGAGGTGGTTTTTTTCTCCACACCCGTCCCGCGTTTATATATATATATATATATATATATATATATATATATATATATATATATATATAGTAAAATAAGTATACGCTTCTAAAAAACTGCTTATTGGTGACGTTCCGATCGAAACTTCACCAAAACAGTTTTTTGAAGCGTATACTTATTTACCACGAATTTTACGGCAACCAAAACCAGACTCTGCGTGCGTGCGTGCGTGCGTGCGTGCGTGCGTGCGCGCGCGCGCGCGCGCGTGTGTGTGTGTGTGTGTGTGTGTGTGTGTGTGTGTGTGTGTGTGTGTGTGTGTGTGTGTGTGTGTGTGTGTGTGTGTGTGTGTGTGTGTGTGTGTGTGTGTGTGTGTGTGTGTGTGTGTGTGTGTGTGTGTGTGTGTGTGTGTGTGTGTACGTGTGTGTGTGTGTCTTTCTCTCTCTCTCTTTAGGAGACGAATAACATTGTATGATTACTGAACTGGACACGGAAAGCAGAAAAGTAGGGCTGAAAATTATTTGTGTGCACAAAAATAAAGTAATGTGCAACAACCTCGGCAGAAAACAGCGCTTTTCGACAGGCGGAGAGATTTGGAAGTTTTAAGCGAATATGTCTACTTAGGAGAGGTAGTAAACGCGCAGCCGAATCAGGAGAGTGAAGTAACTATAATAATAAGGATTGGGTGGATCACATTCGGCAAGCATTCTCAAATCATGAATGGTAATCTGCCACTAACCATCAAGAGGAAGGTATATAACAGCTGCATCTTGCCAATACTTACCTACGGAGCAGAAACCTGCAGGGAGGCTGACAGAGAGGGTTCAGCTTAAACTGAGGACAGCGAGCGATAGAATGGAAAATTATAGGTGTAACCATGATTGATTGATATGTGGGGTTTGACGTCCCAGAACCACCATATGATTATGAGAGACGCCGTAGTGGAGTGCTCGGGAAATTTCGACCACCTGGAGTTCTTTAATGTGCACCCAAATCTGAGGACACGGGCCTACATATAGGTGTAACCTTAAGAGACAAGAAGAGAGCAGAGTGGGTGAGGGAACAAACGCTGGTTAAGGATATCATAGTTGAAATCAAGAAGGGCCGGGCACGTAGGCAGGATAATCGTTGTTCATTAAGAGTAACTCATTAACTCATTTATTTATTTATACTGTCAGACCTGTTTAGGGCTATTAAAAGAGTGGAAATACAACGTAAGCATACTGTCAATGTACGTACAGACACAGAAAAAAATTTGAAAGAATATGGTATACTCGGGTATATCACACATTTGATGATATCAAACATACCTGTATATCATCAGAGTACTAGCAGTAGTATACAACGAATATACGAGACACTTGGGAACAGTTACAAAAGGTGGACCAATAGTTCAAAAAAAAAAACTCATGCAAAAAGCACACACAAGGAAAATCAAAATCAGGTTTGCTAAATGGGGTCATGTTTCAGGTAGTCATTAATTATGTTCAAAAAATGTCTAAGGTAGGCGAGGTTACAATGTCATCGGGTAACAAGTTCCATTTAGCAATGATTTTAGGAAAAATGCTAAATTTAAAGCACTTCGGCCAAACGGCGGGGGAACAAACATGCAATGACGAGGTCTAGAAGTTTCATTGTGTTTAATTTCAAAGCGTTCATTGTGGTTTATTTTGTGGTGTATAATTTCATAGAGGCAGCTAAAACACTCGGAAGAGCTTCGGACTTCGAGCGGGAAAGGTCAGCACGTTTGCACAACTCAGAAGGTGAGCGACATCACTTGTACTATTCAAGAATAAACCTCGAAGCAAGCCTTCGCACTCTGTTTAGTTTGATTTTGTTTGGTTGTGTATAAGGGTCTGATACTTAACGTACTCAAGAATAGGGTGTATCAACGTTTTGTATGCCAGATTTTAATGTGTGTAGTGGCATATCTTAAGCTTCTTCTGAGCGCCCAGAAAGCCTTATTAGCTTAATAAGGGTATTCCAGCGTATGTCATGCGTAATTATCAAACCAAGATATTTAAACTATTTGACGTTCATTAGAATGTGGTTGCCAGTAAAATACTGAAAGTTGAAAACATCTTTTTTTTTGCAAGAGACGTAGTACATGTAGACTGTTTTATTTAAATTTCATTCAATTTGCCAGCTTTCACACCAGCGTTTAACTTTTTTGTAGGTTTGTATTCAGTTCAACTTGGTCTGACGGTGTTCGTATTTCTATATACAATATACAGTCATCAGCATAGAGCCTTGTGGGATTGCGGGGACTGACTGGATTCCTAAAGAAGGCAAACGCACGAAGGGGACTCGGGAAGTTAGGAGTATATACCGATGGGATTAAAAAGTTCGCAGGTATAACGTGGCAACAGAAAGCACAAGACCGGATTTGATTGGCGGATCATGGGAGAGGCCTTTGCCCTGCAGTGGGCGTACTGAGGCTAACGATGATGATGATTAATTTTGCAAGCACAGCGAAACATCACTTGAACGAACCTCAAGGGACTCTAAGATGAAGTTAGTTGAAGTGAAAGTTCGTTGAACTGAAATAGCTGTTCCAGTCTGTTATCAGGAGCTACAAAACAAAACAAAAAAAAATCACTTGTGGAAATCAAACTTGAACTCTTTTACTTGCAATGGTAGTTATTTGAATGCAATTTCCTGCTTATTTCGCATGCTTTGAAGAATGTTGTAATGTTTTGCTCCACGTAGTCCTCAAAACGCAAAGTACTGCAAGTTTTTCAGACTATTTCTGATCACTATGACGTGAGAGGCGTTCCATGGCGTAACTAAATATGTCCATGGACATGAAATGCACTTTGCACTAATTTCATTATACGTACGGAAACGCGTTTGGATGGGGTCCGCTGCAAAGGGGGGGGGGGGGGGGGGGTCTAAAAAAAGTTTGTACAAGTTTGACGTGGCGTTCGTTCAAGTGGTATTTTACTGCATATACGCGCATACAGACGTAAAACATGGTGGTACCTCCAATAAAAAAAAAAAAAAACAAGCAGTTTCTGGCTACGACCGTTATGAGCTGCACTATCCACAACAAGCGTCCTGCAGGAAGAAACTTCGTTACGAAGCATTTTTACTTAAAATAATGAATAAAAACACGGCATTGGGCTTCGAGACAACGTAGCCAGATAGTGGTCACCGCAGAACTAACTGTATAGCGAGGCTGGCAGCAGGAACACTCGCAGCTGACGTCAACGACCCCTCGGACGGCATTTGTGTTCGAAGCGGGGAGGAGGCGCGCAAAACGTGCCTGAACGGCCGCGACGATTAGCATCGCGAAGTGCCGCGTCACCGCCGCCGTTGCGCATCCGAGCACGCGCTGGGCGTGGCCACCCGCGCAGCGCCAACAGTGCAGCACGGCGCGATTAGGCGACGCCGATTGGGTCCTCTTCCGTTGCGTGCGTGAAAGAGCCAATCGCGACCTCCGCCCCGCATCAGGCGCGACCAAAATGTGACGCCGGTGTCAATCAATTTGTGGCCTTATTTCCGCAAGCCTGGCTCGAAAAAAGAAAATAATAATGCACGAAAGTATGCCAAGTTAACCTTGCTTGATTGGTTGATTGATATGTGGGGTCTAACGTCCCAAAACCGCCATATGATTATGAGAGACGCCGTAGTGGAGGGCTCCGGAAATTTCGACCACCTGGGGTTCTTTAACGTGCACACAAATCTGAGCACACGGGCCTACAACATCTCCACCTCCGTCGGAAATGCAGCCGCTGCAGCCGAGGTTCGAACCCGCGACCTGCGGGTCAGCAGCCGAGTACCTTAGCCACTAGACCACCACGGCGGGGCTAACCTTGCTTGAAAAAGTTGCTTGTTATTTACTACACACCTCAAAGATCAATATGAATTCTCTGCATAGAGACAAGTGCAAGTCTAGAAAAAAAGTGCACCTTAAAACCAAACAAGGGAGCAGATAAATAATAATAATAATAATAATAATAATAATAATAATAATAATAATAACAGCTGAACTTTCACGTTCCGAAACCATAATGGCATTTTGAGAGACGCCGTGGTAGAAGTCTCCGGAAATTTCGACCACCTGGTGTTCTTCAAAGTGCACTGCATGACATCGCACAGTTCACGGATCACTTGGCGTCCATCGAAATGCGGTCGGTATCGAATCCACGACCTCGGGGTCGACAACCGAGCACCGCAACCGCTGTACCACCCTGTAAGACTATCCCCCCTAACAGGGAAGTTACCGCTGCCTCTAAATATTGCCGCTTCTAACACATAAGGCGCTGAGAGCTCGAAATTTCGAAGAAAACAGCGCCTTCTAGACAGGCACTCACCACACGTAAGCACTACGCCGGGGGAGTCAAACACGCGGCCCGTGGCTTCTTCACGCAAAATGAACTTCTGCGACTTAATCAATTAGCACTCGCGTCGTTTTCTTACATTCAGTAATTAATGGTGCTTTTGCCGGGCAAGCTACAGAGAAATGTAACAGGCCTTTTTTCTTTCTTTTTTCGTTAGCCATCCCACACGGTCGCTCATTTTAAACATGAACACGAAACGAAAACTACATTTTTTTTTTCCAGAATAGGCGTCTAGATTCAAGCAATCCTCGAAATCACTGTCGATATGTTTTTTTGCAGACCGGACCTCATATCCCCTTCAGAAATGACCCATATATGAGAAAGGCTTTCGTTATGGTGCATTCAGACGACGGATCGAATCCCGATGTGGCGGGACGGACGGTGCGTCACATGACCTCACATCAGCGATTCCCCTCGTCCGCGACTCGTCCGCGCGGCTCGCGGACGGATGAACCAAACGTGTTTCTCACATCGGGATTCTGGCGGGGGAGAGCCGGTACTTCAGCGGAATAGCTTGGGGTTGGTGGCAACCAGT